CAATAGTTTTATTTTAGTACATCAAACTAAATGAAAATGAAAAATGTTGCCTTGGCAACTAGCAGAATTTTTTTTATATATATATTTATTTTATTGTTATTTTATTTCATTTCATACTGTTTTCATTTCAATTAACTATAATAACCCTGGTATCTTTATCCTCAAGATACATGGTTTTGTTAAAAACAAACTAACAAACAAAAGAAAGCTCCCATTTTCACCCCAAACCCTTTAGTTCTTGTCTTTTCGATTTAAATGCATCATAACTCTCATAAAACTTCCAATATAATGCAAGAACTGGATTATTTGATCTTACTTAAAGACACATTTGATTAAAGAAATATGAAAACGTGTGCTATCATTTACCAAATGTGTAGTAATTAAGAATTTTTCCTCAAGTCCCATGATTTGTTTTTGGTTTTGCAGTTTTCGATCAGCCACCGCTTGACCTTGTGGAGCATCGACTATGTGAGTGCGTATGTGATTGTTAAGCGAGTTGATGTGTCTCCAAGGCAGGGCATGTTGACCACAGCAGGCTGATAATGTACTGCAGCTGTTCAACCGATTCAACCTCTCAGCTCATAACAAACCACTCTTTCTCCAGATGGACAATTATCTATAAAAACCAATCTGCCATCTCTTCAAAGCAAAGTAAAGCTCAGGGGATGTCATGTACTTCACCGTGGATCAGCAGAATCCTTAACCACATAGAGAAAGGATTACCTGTATGAATCCGACCATGGCCACTGCCGGGCTGGTACGCTTTTCCTCCTTCATCTCTCCTTGGGAGATATGTGAAGCAAACACACAACGCATCTTGTTCTGTGGCGGTGGTCCAGAGTCCTCAGCGCAGAGCTTCGTAAGTATTGTTGGATTGGAAGAGGAATGTTGGCGTGGAGGGTAATTGTCTCTGAGTGGGACAGCAGTGTTATGGCGTGCAGTTTTTATCCTGACAGCTCAGCCCAAAATAGGGCAAGATCCCAGCAGGGATGAACTTCTCATGCTGTCCTGTCCAGGTTTGAGGTTGTGGTTTTGGTGCTCTGGTCAGGGAAAATGCGAGAAAAACAACCTGCGTGTCTTCTGGAGTTCAGAAAGAAACCATTTTCAGCTTAGGGATATTGAATCAACCTCCGAATGCTCCCATGAAAGGCTGTGACTGATTTTTCCATTACTACTGCAGTGTTATCAAACGCTAGGACGTGGCCCCAGGCTCTGGTATGTGTGGCCAAAACCCTCTAACCAAACTTAATGCAATCTGACTCTCTCCTTTGTGGTTGGAAGGGACATCTTTACGCTTGGAGCCAGACTCTCTCCTTGAGACAGCCGTCTGAACACTTGATAACTAATACCAATGAACTGATAAGCAGAACCTTTCAACAGGCCTTATACGAGCGAGAAAGTTGAACATGAATTTTATGTAGTATATAAACTATTCTTTCATTTTTAGATTAATGCGCATCTGACCTTTAATAAGATCAATCATAGTCAATAAAGGCATCACAAACATGACTTGACTGTCGATTATACATCAACATTTAAGAGTTACCAGATGCTCAGTTGATTTCCAAAACGGGGACCAATCTGACCAAAAAATGAAAACAGATATTTATGTTGGGTTCTTGGCTTTTTTAATACCATGGTTGGGCAAATTTCATAATTGAACCACTGGCTCACTTTAAATTCATGAGTGTGAGTTGAGTTTCCACATCTCACAACTGCATATACTAATGTTCAAAAATTTGGGGTCAGTAAGGTTTTTTATTTTTATAATTTTTTTTAAACTGTGACCACAAATTAAGAACACATTCGTATGATTTGTTAATTTATGGCCATGATTTACTAATTTGTTCCTTGTTTTAGTTAAATAAAATGAGGGAACGAATACGTGGCTACAGTTTACTAAAACAAGGGGAACAAAATTAATAAATCATGGCCACGAATAAACATGTTGTGGAAACAAATTCATGGGAATCGAATGGATGTGAATAGTGGCTGTTACATACCACACACTAAAAGTTATTAGAGCAAGTTACCGTTTTATGAACTGTTTTTTAATATATAAAATGGTTATTTTTAATTGTTTAAAAATGCTGCCCTGGTGAGCATAAAAGACTTCTTTTAAAAACATAAAAAATATTACAGACCACAAACCCCAATCTATCATTTTCTCTGTCTGTAATGCCTATAACTTTATTTTGTTCAAGCCAATATTCAAAGTTTGCCTTGACAAACTTTGCTTTCTAGTTAAAAAATAGCTATATACATTTCTTTCAAATCATTTTCTAATTAATTTTAATTCTCTGTGCAATATATGTCATATTAAGTAAAAACATATATGAAACCTATTAGAAATTGAAACAATTTCATAACACATCTAACCCATATAAATATGCATATTTATGTATGTATAATACATTCTCAGACATATATGCACATGTAAATCTATCCTAAAACCCAGATGTTGATGTTAAGTAAAGATAAACAGATTAACATGTATTTTAAATCTATTACAAAACATGAACATATTTTAGTAAAGTTGCATATAGAAATTAATTATATATTGTTGACATATATGGTTGCTACATATAATACCATATAAAAAACAGCAAAGATGTTATTAACACATGTACAATTTAAAGTACATTTTACTATGGGCATTTTATATATGTTACCTACAGTATATCTACCCAAAGAATGTACACATGTGAAAATTATCGTCTTAAAGGTAACATATATGACAATATCACTCTGAATAGAGAGCAATATATGTCACATCTTACATTTCTGCATCAGGCAGTTTTGCATTGTTTGCTACTTCAATTCATATTCAGGAATTTTTTATTCATTTCTGAATGATGCACAACTCTGCTTAAAACAATGACTGTGAACAATTCATCAGAGAATTGTATTCAAAAGAAGTTGTTTTCATAACCTTTATTAAAATATACTTACTTCAATAACTCCACTGTGGCATGTAACAGCCAATTTTCACAATCCAAATGATCAAATAATCCACCCCGTAAATATCCCGTTTCACACAGAAATATGTCTACTGCACTTCCAGGAAAAAAAGGTACAAAACTTTAGTTAATAATATGTAGGCTACTTATAAAGTACATTGTTTTAAAGTACTAATATATACCGGCTTTAAGGTACTAATAGGTACCATTTAGGGGTAAATAAGGTACATGTACCTTTTGGCTTCTGTACCTTAGCACCTCAGTGACAGCCTTGTACCTTGTAAAAGTAAATTGGTTGCAAGCATTGTTTTACTTTGACTGCAATACACCGCGATGTTTGATCAGGACCAGAGGGAGCAGTAATTCATTAGTCACATTTCAGAATTTCTCAGTCAACAGCACTTTCACAGTAAACACTTCCGGTTTACACCATTAACACTGCAGTATATATAGATTATGGATCTATATAATCTGTCTTTCCAGAACACCTCACCATCGTATATTGTGTTTACTTGTCTAAGAATGTCTCATTAAACAAAGATTATCTAGGAGAGCTTGCAGCATGCATCTGAGGACCGGTGACTTGTTATAAAACTGCTCCAGTCAGCTGCTTCTGGAATGAATTTGATAGCTCCCGCCACAGAGGCTGTCGATCATCAAGACAACATGCTTAATTGTCTGTGAAAGATTGCCACAAGGGGATCAAAAATTCCCTTTATGCCTAAAAGCAATTACCTTGCCCTTGTTTTTAAAACGCTCTACTTGTGCACTGGTGCATGGATGAAAACAAGAGGCATGCTGGGACAGCAACTGCAAAATGACTGTGATTGAGCTCTGTTGAAATAATCAATATATTATAGTCAAGTCCCT